ACTCTGCATTCATCTCTTATCAGACGTACAAAGATGATCCACCAGTGCTGCCCAGTTTGAGGACATTTCCAGTCACATTAATGGGGGACAGGAGACGCAGCTTCCATCAAAGCTGGTATGAAAGTCATCGTTGGATTCTCTGTAATTATGGACTCTGCCTGTTTCAGGCCACCAAATATGTATTTTAAACAGCTATTGTGCACATATGTGAAACCTTTAATTTGAAAATCTTTTGGATATCTTTTTATTATTTTTTCTCCTCCTGTGTGTTTGTGTGTGCAGTTTCTACCAGAGCCAAATGTCATCGACTCCTCACTGAAGTCGTCCACCAGTCCAACCACTGGGATCCAGCTGCTGCTCTCTAACTGGTCCACACAGCAGCTCAGACCTGACACATTGACTGTAAACACACTGGTTTATATTCTGTTTGTTCTCCTCATGAAGGAAACCTCACACAACCACTGAGTTCAAATCACTGAAAGTTCAAATGGAGAGTTATTATTATTGTTTTCTTTTATAAAGAAGCAGAAGAAGAATGGTACCATGAAGATTTTATTTATTTTTCATACTTAAGAGAACAATTCTTCACCAGGCCTTTCAGAATAAAAGCACGACCAAGACATCATTTATGCATAAATAATAAATGGTATATCACTTAAATGTAGATGTAATCCAAGTTTCGTGTCTTCAGTAACTTTGCTGTTATTTATGTTATTTCTAAGTGTGCTGTCGTCTCCACAGCAGTGATCTGGTTTCTCTGCAGGTTCAATAAACTTTGGTCTCACTTGATCTTCTCGTGTGCTTCTGTGGGTTTCACAAAGATATCTGATGAAAAACGTTGTTTTCTTTTCCTGATGAGAACATAGAGCCAGTCCTAGATTGGTCACTGACTCTGTAAATACTGAGGTACGACTATGAACACAGCTGTCTGAGCCCTCGTGCAAAGTCCTGGTTGAGCCAGTTACACCGACACCTTTTTATGACCAAGTTATTTATTTTTTGTTTTCTGTTAGTAGCATCAAGAGACTACAGCTGTACAAACTTGTTATATAATGACAGTTATATCTCGTTACAGTTTCAGAGTCAAAGTGATTCAGTGAGCAGCTTTCCATCTCGCTTAGATCCAGTTTACACATGTGCTCAGTGAGGTATGTTTGAGTCCAGCTCACATTATTCAGTTTCACTTCAAGATTATTCATGAAGCACCAGGAAACAACAACCATCCGAAGGCACTTTTACAGTAAAATCATTAGAATCAGAAAGTCCATGAAAAATGCATGAACTGAGTCAACAAAGTCAGAAAGTTTCTGATTAAAAAAATAAACATGAAACCTACTTAACATCCATATTACTATTTTAACGCACATTAAACATAAATATATTAAATAAAGTTTGCTGTAAAGTTAAGAAGTGTGTGCAATGCTTAAAGCTGTATATAATAAACATTAGAAGCTTCTGTGATATAAATATGAGTGAAGCAGCAGCAGCAGGTATTTTAATATTAAAGTAAAGCTAAAGAGACATTAACTCAGCAGGAGTTTGAGACAATGATGGACGTTTAAACATAAAACCTGAAAATGTTTCCTGGATTCTTTGTCAACAATTTAAACCAAAGAAAGAGAAAATGTAAAAATTCATAAAAATCGTTTTTTGGCAGTTTTTGATGCCATGTGTGACATTTGAGTCTACACATGATTGGAAAACCACAACTGTCTTTATCCTGAATGCTAAGTGTCACCTCTGAGAAGCTGAAACAGCAGGAAAAAAACTGAAACATTTCAAACAGGCTGAAGTTCAAATGGAGGCTGGTATGAACCCTGGTTACGTTGTTTTCGGTAGATCAAAAAACCAACAACACCAACAAGAAGCACAGCAAAAATGACCAGACCAATGATCAGTCCAACAGATCCATCCTCTGTGTGTCCTCCTGTGTGACCTGCAGGTGAGAAACAGGTGTGAGGTGTCAGCTGTCAGGTAGGTGATGAGTGAAGAACAGAACAGAATCCATTTCCTCTTCAAACTGCTGTCAGACATTATCTACTGCACTCTGATCACATCACTCAGACCAGCTGCTTTCTACAAAGTCTCATCAACAACATCTTTAGAAACAAACATCAACAACCAGGAAGCAGCTTCACCTCTGATCACACACACACTCAACTCTACTCACTCACCTGGAGGATCAACAACTCTCAGGGTGATGTTGCAGATGGGGGGACATGTTCCTGCCACAACGATGCAACACGTGTATGTTCCATTATCATGAATCGTCACATTCTTCAGAATCAAAGACACGTCTCCATCCTTCATCTCTTTGTCCTGCAGATCCACCCGGTTCTTAAATAATGGATGCTGATCATCTTCTTTGAGCTCCTTGTCTTTAAACACAGCTACATGTTTATCTCCCAGGTCAGCTCTGCTCCACTCTACAATGAAGATGTTGTTGTTTGGAGCTCGACATGTCAGAGTGACGTTCTGTCCAGACTCAGCTGTGATGATTTTCTGGTCTGAAAGAGGAAACAACACAGTGCAGAGAGGTTAAAGGTCAAAGTACAACTGTTACACCAGCCAATCAGAGTGAAGAGTCTCTCTGGGATCTGGTTTACGGTGGCTGAATTAAATCTGAGCATCAGATCTGTTAAAAAACTGTGAGAACAAGAACAGAGCACAGAGAATAAAAGCTCCTGAACAGAGTATGAAACATTTCATTAATAACAAAATCTTAAATAACATAAAAAAAAAAACTTAACTGTCACTTTTGTGAGCCACTTGCTGGGCTTGTGTAGACAAGAACATGCCTGAAAATTTTTATTTTTCAGTTTCACCATCAGAAATGATCATCCTCATCACATCCAGCACATTGACATCAGTTCAAGTGAGTGATTAAATAATTAAATGAGCCTTCTGTTCATACAACAGGCCCTCTGGACCTCATACTAATGAGGTCACATTGACCACCAGTGGCGGTTTTTTGATATGAGCGACATGGGCCGTTGCCCAGGGCAGCACCATGCCACCGCATTTTTGTGATTGCACAGGCACCGATCGGTTTTCTATTCTCCATTTGTGGGGAGTAAGGGCGCCCTCGGTTTGCGTCCCTGCTGCTTGCTGCACAGAGAGGGGCGGGGCTGGCTGGTGCAGCATCTAATAACCACTTGGCAAAATGAAACAAACCAGCAAACATAAAAACACCAGACATCATGATATAGACTAGTGATTTGCACTGATGTGATTTCTAAATTCTATCACATATATACGTGAAACGTGAGCGCGAGGGCCCTCAGTGTGCCTTTCTGCTGCTGCTAAAGTCTCACACACAACCTGTTGAAACTGAAAACAGTAGACACTGATGTGGCTTATTGAATCTTTTGCACTTTTGTTCAGCACAATATTAATTAACCCTTTATTGGAAGAGCTGATTGTAGATTTTGCTGTGAACGCGGACATGCGCGTGTCAATACTCAGATCTGTAAATGTGAAATAAAGCGTAAGATGCACAGATATGAAAAAGTCAAGTGTTGCTCAAAGCTCTCGAAACAGACAAGTCACGCAGGTTTTCCCCCCCTCTCTGGACACGTCATTCTCTCCACCCACTTGTTACAGTCTGTAACAAGTGGATGGAGAATGACGAGAGTGGGTGGAGAGAAAGGCGAGGCTCAGTACACTGAGTTTTTTTTTTTTTCCTCAGTACACTCTGAGTACACTGACACTCTCAGAATGACTCTCGTCATTCTCAAGTGGGTGGAGTAAAACGAGAGTGGGTGGAGCCTCGCAAACGCCTAAATGACTAGACCGACTGAATGCTGTTTGCGCCTCGACTCAATGCAGGCTCAGATGGACAGACTACCGTGTGCTTGCTGTAAGTGCTTTATTTATTTATTATTTTATTAACATATGACATACATGTATTAGAAGCTCGGTGTTATTATGACAGTGTTTTGGCAATGGCGTTTACGGACCGATCTGTGCTGAAAACACGAGTTAAAGAATAAATAATAAAGTACCGAGCAGCTAAACCCGAGGCAGACACATGGATTCATCTTTTATTTTGTCCTTTTTCGTTCAAATAGTCCGAAAAAACGTGTTATTTCTAGAAATCTTAACCAGCTGGTCTGAACGACGGCGAAACGGGGAAGGCGTCTTTTTATTAGAAATATAGGCGGAGTCTGAATAACCCGCACCTACAGCGCTTACTCAGCTTACAAATATTTGATGACCTCTGACGAGTCACAGAGAAAATGCTCAAGTTTTTAAAGCCAACACACGTTTTTATAGATTCAACGACAAATTATATATCTTTATATAGTTATTATACAGAGACATACACACAGTAAAAAGAAGCTTGTGTTTCAGGCCTGGTTTTAAATTTGA